GCCCGCGGCGGCCGCGCGCTCGGGCGACACCGGCGGCGTGTTGCGGCGACTGCGCATCGGGCACTCGGACGGCGACGCCGCCTCGCCCAGGGCGTCCGCCCACGCCGCGCACGTCGACTCCGCGCTCGCCTGGCGCCCCGCGCCCGCCCCGCCCGCTCACTGTACTCGCGTGTGCTTAGAGCTGCCTCTGGCGTAAATCAGGCGGCATCCAATCGGAAGATCGAAAGTCACCATAATGACGTCACCGTTGTGATGTGTAAGCTTCCGATTGGATGACACCGTAATAACGCATGACCTGTCAGAGGTAGCTGTAAATAAATAGAGATTATACAGAGAAGCTACTGCAAGAATGGACCGCTTTGACCACTGCTGGCAATATAACTGCGAGTTGCGTCCCTGAACTCGTTTTGTCAGTGCTTTTGTTTACAGTTAGCTCAGACAAACGTTTCATCACTGTCTCTTGCAATGCCATCGCCCTTCATTTCTTTCTCGGCGTGTCAAAGCGGTCCCATCTTAAGAGTTACTCCTCTACACTAATTCTACCTGGCCCGCCTCTAAGGCCTCGAGCGTTGCGTTGACGCACGTGAAGGAACTCGTGTCATGAAGGAACTAGGCATATCGCTAAGAGAATGTGGGCACTGTGTGTGTGGTTTAGACACAAATGTCCATAGTTCACTGATGAATTAATGTCGCGTAACAGTAAATCGTTTGTCCAAACCTATTCAAAGAATTTTAAGATCTTCAAATAGAAACGTAAAAACAATTTTCAATTGAAAAAATTCAATCTCTTAGTTTTGCATGAATGAATAATAATCTCAAGAACAAACTTCAAAACAAATCACTGAAGAAATGAGTCTGGCCCGGTTGTTGTTCTCCAAATCACCCCCGTTCATTTCTGGAGATGTATTTTTAAACAAAATATTAAAATAATTTATTTTGAATTAAAAATAAGCACCGGCAGCTATGATAACGCAACAGCATTACAGCAACGTTACTACCGTGAATTTTAACGATTGAAAACTTGCTGGTTCGAAACTGGGCGAATACAGGACTTTTTTTTAACTTGTATAAAAATTAGTGAGTTTGTGCCTCCTTCCAGATTCGAGTTCGTAGATCGACTGCTCTAATCGATAAGTTTTGTGTTGGACCTCATCACTTCCAGACGAATGCCTGAGCAGTCTATACAACGGGCCACGGACCACGCCTTTTTTCTTCGTCCTGTTATCACTCCCATTCTCTGGCCAGTTTACATGTGGCCCAATCCACTCGTGGCCCGATTACCCTTTTCCATTAGGCCCTCCCTCCCGTTTATCCTGAAAAATCTCTGACAAGCGACAGAAATCTATGGTTACAGCTGCAGGTTGTGGGAATACAGAGACACTGAATCTTAGTGGGATACCCGACATTATAAGTTTCTTTTAAAATTATTTTAAATGGTTTCCACGTATTGTTTTTTGTTATTTGCGTGAAAGATTGAGTAAGGGAATTCTGCAAAATTATTTATAAATAATTATTAAACAACATTTTCAAATTCGCAGAGCCTCAGATAGTGCTAGTTAGATCGTAGGATAAAGAATTCCCGAGGACGGTTTTCAGGGAACCAGTTTTATTCTCTAGAGCCATGGGCAGATGGGCAGGCGGACAGATATACTGACCAACGTGTGTTGATAAGCGCGAAGACGTGACTCAGAGTTTTCAATCCTAGACAGAACATTTTGCATTCTGGAGCAAGAGTATTTACTTTTTGGTTTTGGGTACGTAAACATGTGTTATAATTATGTGAGTATGCATGTTTAAATTACCACCCACTTCTATCTCTTCATAAATTTGCGCTTTCGTCGTTTGTATCAGAAAAAGTGGATATTCTTCGTCCAAAAAACTCGAAATCATGTTTTGTATTAACGACGTTATATAGGACCTGCGACCTGAAAGTCTTACTTATAAGTGTTATCATTTTTGACATTTTAAACTAATTGAGGATGTGTGTTGAGTGAAAATAGAGTCGAAGACAACTAAAAAGCACATACTGAGAGATCTAAAAAACTAACGATGAAGTTCCTCTTTGTGTATTTAGCGTTTCATAACTCGTAACTCATTCATAGAAAAGTTTTTTGCCTGTACACTAGTCAAGTTTAAAAACACATTGAATTAAAATATAGTATGTTTTGTGCAGTTAAAGTATGGTATGTTGTACCAATGGACAAGAAGTGCGCGCCAAAACGATTTTAAATTGACCAAGTTGCAAACACTTTGCATTTCATATTCTTTGGCGGCCAGAACGGCAGCATTTTGATCTAGACTCGCGCTGAGGGTCGGTTTTGGAACCGGGTCCGGGACGCTCAGTCGGCAGTTGAAGGGTCTGCGGGTTAGACTGCTGCAGACGTTAATGCTACATTTTTCGTTTTATCTTTGATTTCAATTAAAAAGAACACAATGTGTGTGTAAACAATTTACTTGACATTAACATTTTGATGTGAGTGAAGACACGTGTTTGTGTTTAAGAACCTGTAAGTGTTGAAGATTTGTATTGGAGTTCGCGTTGCAGTACAAAGCGATTCGGGAAAGTGAGTGGTTGGCATCAATAACAGAATTATCTTGGACATTCGACGTAAACAAATAGTAAGTTTTTAAAAGAACATTTGTATTTTATTTGTAAAACATAAATATTATTTAAACACACAGGTTTTTTTGTCTTGGCTAATACTTTATAACTGGTCAAGTATTGGTGCATGTTGCGCTTTACATCTTTTTTCCAATGAACGTTTCTTTCCTGAATGTGATGTGATCTTGTAAGAAGAAGATAGCTCTATATCAGTAACATTTCATTCATAACATAATAGTAGCGTTTCATTCGTAACATTTCATGATATTTAAATTGTATTGTGAAAGACGTGCAATACAAATTGTATTTTTTTATTTCATAACCTCAAACATTGGTTTGGCTGAGATGAATTTATGGGATTTGAATGTTTTTGTCTTCAATGCAATTATAATAACAAACATTACAAAAAAGGTATTATTTGCTAAAAACCTGTGTTGTTTGGTAATAATCTTTGTTTATTTGCCAATGTTTATTGTGAAAAACAGATATTAGTTTTTCATAGTTGTATGCGTTTGAAAGATACAGTATAATTTCAACTGCTATTGCAAATCCTTTTCACTATAATCTCACAGAGAACTCTACGTTACTTAAACCATTTATAGCTTTGATTCGCTTGAAATAATAGTACATTATGCAACTAGTTTTCAATGGTAGGTTTTATTACAAAAGTACAAGTTTTAAAAACGAGTGAGGTAAGACGAATTTTCAAATTTATACGAATGCAATAAAGCAACACTATAAACAAGATGCATACACCACTTTTGGTAAAGTAGCATTATTTATAAAAGAACCAAAATGTTTGGAGACACATTAACAAGCAGTTTTGTTGGAAACGTAAGATGTTGGTATTACGTCACGCGACAGCATCGGCAGGGAAAACAGTTGTTGAGGAT